AGGCCGGGCGGGAAGGGGCCGCCCCAGCACCGCCCACGGGGCCGGGGAGGCCGGCGCTGCCCGCCAAACCCGGGCTGCAGGCAGGACCTGGCCGAGCGGGGGTGCTTTTCCCCCTCCTCCCGAGGGAAACCAGCCGAGTGCCGAATCATCCCTGAGGAACGTCAAGGCTGAAGTGTGTTTCTGGAGATCCAAGCAACTATAACACCAGCTACACGGTGTTATCGTTTAGCTGGAGTAGGGCTCCTCCGGCGTTTCACGCATTGCTTTGGAGACCAAGGCTGGTGAAGGGGCTGGAGCAGCTGAGGGAACCGGGGGTGTTTAACCTAGAAAAAAGGAGGCTCGGGGAGAACCTTATCACTTTCTACAGCTCCCTGAAAGGAAGTTGTACCCAGGTCGGGGTCGGCCTTTTGTCCCAGATAGCCAGGGACAAGATGAGAGGACATAGTTTTAAGTAGCGATTTAGGAGAGATTTAGGCTGGGCATTAGGAAAAATTTCTTCACGGAAGAGATGATTAGATATTGGAACGGACTGCCTAGGAAGGTGGTGGAGTCACTGTTCCTGAAGGTATTTAAGAAGAGACTGCACAGACTGCGCTGAATGCCTGATCTAGTTGACATGGGGGTGCTCTAGGTTGGACTCTTATTTCAGAGATCTTTTCCAATCCTTTTTTTTTTTTTTCTATGATTCTGTAAAAGACACATCAAGTGTCCATCCTCACACCCAGAACCTACTAAGGGGGTGACCTCCGGTTCTAGCCCTGGGAAGATAGCGTGAGGCCTCACCAAATGTCAGGAGGGGCTTTTACTGTGATAAACTCTGTAACCCTGAACCTCTTCAGACTGCCCAGAAGTCTTGTCTGAAAATTTTCAGAGCTTCAAGCTCAGTTTGTATATCCATCGCCCGTTTCAGAACACTTTTTCTAATCATAACACTTTACGTTTCAGGAATCACATAGCAGTTTATTCTCTCATCTTTATGACAACGGTGAGAACTATCCTGCAGATGAACTAAGAGAAACTGAAGACAGGTTTGCCAGCAGCATCCCTCCAGAAAACAGCTTTTTCCAGCTCCGTAGAGTTCAAAACTGGCTACGCTGGCATCAGAGTCCAGAAGGCTAAGTTTAGTAGCTGGCATCCAGAGTGAAAAGGCTGGTGTGTGCTATTCACTGGGTAAATAATAACTGTGTTGTGGACTTTTGACTATCAAGAGCCAGAAAAATATACCTGCTCATTTCATGTGAGCCCCTAAAGAACAATCAGTTCTCCAGTAAGCACAATGCTAGGCTATATATTCAAACAAAATTGCAGGTGGAAAACCCTGCATCCTTCATAAAAATGCAGGATAGGCTGCTGAATATCAGTTTCAGTAATGCTGGGGGTACTAAAGATGTTCAGAAAACCTTAAAACCTTTAATTTCAGCGACATTTCTTTATCTCACTTCCCTGCTGCCTGATTCTATAGTGTTTATTTTTAAAATCCATGCCATTCAGCATTATACATTAATGCATGTTTACATAACCAATAAATTATATTTCCATATCTCTTTTTTATCTCTTGCATGTTAATTGTGTGTGATTTATAAAATCTCTGGGTTTATTTCTGAGAAAAAAAAGCAATCATGAATGTTTCATAGCTTGAGTGTGGTACAGTATACCAGCTCTTTCATCTGTTCAAGAAGAGATATGTTTGTTTGGAATACAGCCACAATTCCTAGTGCTAGAGATTTGGATGTGTAACTCTGGAAGTGCTTTATGAAATGAAGGAAGGCTAATTTATCCCTTCTTTGAAACCAGGATGCAAGGAAGTGAAATGGCATAAGGAAGGTGCCATAACTGCTCACTAGCCAAACTCAAAATACAGTATGAACGGGTTCTTAGTCCTGGCTCAGCATATGTTTGTAGTGTGGATTATTAAATCTCCACTATAAAGATGCTGAAGGGATTAATTTTTAAAATTAATTAATTTAATAGCAATTTTATGTCTCACTTCATCACATCCCACAGGATACTTTTGCAACAAGGTACATTGTTTTTTGGGGTTTTTTTCCTCATGCAACCTGAGGTATGTTGTGAACATAGAAAATAAACCACTAATACATTTAGGAATAAATATACTTGAGCTAAAAAACTATTGTCTAATTTATTATGCAGAAACATGTCAGATTCCCCATTAGAAACCCACAGAGCTGATCTGCTTCTTTGTCCACTAGCAGACTTTGAGTGAATACTTAGACTGGCTACAAAGATCAAATTCTAGAGCTGATAGGATTCCTAAATTTTTCTCATTTCCCAGAGTGTTTTCTTTTTCAATTACTGAAAACTGAGCATTTTCCTGAAACAACAAAGACTCTTGGTGGTTTCCCATTATAAATCAGTACCTTCTCCATCTTTACCCTTGTCACGAACAAGATGGAAGGGATGGAGAGAAAAGGGAAAACAAATCCTGCTGCATCAGTCAGAAGTTGCAGGTTTGAACAGATTGGCTTTGTACTTGAGTCATCACACTGTAAGTCAGAGCAGAGAGGCAGAGTTGCACCTGAAGTAACAGCCTCTGTCTGACAAAAATGGGCTGCTGTGGATGGTGCTTACACCACAGCTGCACATCTCCCAGCCTATGCACACATTGGCAATGTGTCATTCAGTGGGAAAGTCAAAATTATACATATGGATCACAGCAGATAAAGCTACACATCTGGCAGCTTTATTGATCACAAGGGGTTTTTTTTTCCACTTACACTGGTACATGTTAGCTATTGAGTCAGCTGGATGCATACTGAGAAGTACAAACATTAACTGAAGTCACACTGAAGCTGCTCTGAAAGACAGGAGTTCATCAGAGGCACAATCTCTGCCTTTGAGGAGCAAGAAAGAAATTTTGAGAAAAAGCCAGAAACAGGACTTCTGTGCATCTACACTTTGCTACATAGCCTGAGATACCACCTGAACTGCGAGCTGGGTTGGGAGAAAGCCATGTCTTTTCTACAGGAGGGTTGGAATGACTGGGCTTTGTAAGATACTGCTAAGAGTTCCCCTCACAACCTCCTTGACCCTGGCAGACAGGACAACAGCTGTGCTCAGATGAAAGATGTGCAGTTCAGTAAACATTTGGGACTGCAGGGCAGCTCCTCCTTTGTCTGCCAGTTTAGGGGGCAGGTGATGAAAATGATCTCTTTCCAAGGTGGAATACTAGGGGGGGTCTGCTGGAGCCTGAGATAGGATGAGCATTGGGATAAGGATGCAGAAGAAGTTCATAATGAGTTTTAAACTGAGATGAACCGTCTGGGATTTGCTGCAGGGTAGGAAAATGTAAATTGATGAGTCAGCTGGGTTCCTGTGAAATACAAAGAGCTGTCCAAATCAAATTTAAGCTAACAGCTGTTGTCAGGCAACTAAGGTACTTCAAATAAGGATTTCCACTAGAGAAAATATCTTCCTCAAATCCTGGTCAGCAGGAAAAAGCCTGGGGTCTAGACAGACCTGTAATTCAACCCCTTGAAGTCTGGAGGGGACAGTACCTCTTCTCTTCCTTTCAGGGTGTGCAGCTGGTTGCTCAAACAAGGTCTGATAAAAACTTGTAAGGAAAGTCAGAAACTGCTTCTGTTCTACCCAGTCTACTCACTCTCATGTCCTCTGCAGAAAACCCATACTACAAATTTTTGGAAGACACTCTCATTTTTCTACAAGATCCAGGTTTTCAGTCCTCTGGTCCAGTAGAAGAGTAAGTTTTCATTATTAAACACAAGCTTCTTCTTATTATAAGAGAGGCAGCTCATGAAAAACTGAGAGATCTTACTAATATTCAGTGCAGTTGATCACTGGTGTGGCACTTGTATGCACAGTCCTAAGGAGGAGACAGGGGACGCATTCTTCCCCTTTTGGTCCATTAAAACAATGCCCTAAGGGAATAAGGGAGTGGGTGAAGGAAGGTTGCTTTCCTAAAATGCCTTAGTTTTTCCTGATTAAATGAAGCAGCCCCTTGAAGCCCAGCATGAGCTGAAGGGAGAATAAAGGACTGGGTAGATCTGATGAGCGAGGCATCACTGAAACAACAGCATCAGGAGCCGGCAGCACCGCAGGCCTCTCACCAAACCCCACTCTTTTTTTGGTTTTCAATGCAATTTGCAAGCCGGTTTTCGTTACACGATTATAGCCCTATGCATAAAAAAAGAACAACAACAACAACAACAACAAAAAAAAAAACCAAACCCAAAACACCAAAAAACAAAACAAAGCCAAAACAAAACAAAACAAAAAAACTTCCCAAAAACTCAACCACCTCATAAACAGGCCCCGAGGCTCTGCGAGGCCTGGCAACTTTGGGACTAGCGACAGGAACGCGCGCGTTCTGCGGCACCTGCCCGTCACAGCCCCACTGCGGAGCGCAGGCCAGGCCGCACGCGTGGCTGAAAATACGTTTGAGCCTGTTTTATTTAAAACTACAGGCACCCGTCCTTTGCTTTTCCACGTTTCCTCATGTATTTCCCGCCCCGCCCGCCGGCCCGCTGCCGGAAGATGGATGCGGCGGCGCAGGCGCGGCAGGAGGAGCAGGAGCGGGGACGGCGNATGGCAGCGAGATTCACGAGGCGTCGGCGGCGCTGGTGCACCTGAGCCGCGGCGGCGCGGAGGTAGCGGGGGGCGGCGGGGTGTGGGGGTGTGCATATGTATGTCTGTGTGTCTGTCTGTGTCTGTGTGTCTGTGTGTGTGCGCGGCCCGGCGTGCCGTGTGCGACACAGCGGCCGAGAGTCTCCCTCTGTATGGGCCCTGAGCCCCTCCCGGTTTGCGGTGCTCCCTGCGCCGCCACTGCGCCCTGCAGGGCCTGCCCAGCCATAATCTCTCTCTTCGTGTTGCCCTCTCCCTTGTTTTATTCATCTCCTCCCAAAGACCTGCCTGGCCCTCTGGCAGGGGTTGAGGTCGCACAGGCAGCTGGATGCAAGACTGAAAAGACTCAATTAATACAACTCAATTAGTATACTAAACGTCATGCGGACAGGTCAAAGAGACCCCTGCCCAGGTGAAGACCATTCCCCTGAGCATGTGTAAAAGTTAACTGGAGTTGCAAAACTTGTATGGAAATGACCAGCTAATCATAATAGAGGGGCTGCACTTGGAGAATTACTCTGAATTTCCGTGTATAGACAATGGCACAAAAAGTCCAGTGGGCGTGCTTGATTGGTGGAATACCACCAAACACCCAGGCTTGCACGACTTACACTCTGAAATAAATAATCAATGTCTCTCCTGAGTGTGTAATTATTTGTTTGTCACACATAAGGTAATGAATTCAATTTTGTGGGCAGCAGTGCCAGGCTCTTCTTAGTGGTGCCTAGTGACAGGATGAGGAGCAGGGGCCATAAACTAAACTATGAGGAAGACCTTCTTTACATTGAGGACAGAGCATGGGAACAGGCTGCCCAGGGAGGTCACGAAGTCTCCATCTCTGGAGATAGCCAAAACCCACCTAGATGCATTCTTGTGTAGCCTTGTCTGGGTAACCCAGCCTAGTTAGGGAGGTTGGACTGGATGATCTCCAGAAGTCCCTTCCAGCTCTAACAAATCTGTGATATTGTGAACCCGGGAGCTCGGAGAAGGTGGAGACCTGTCCCTTCTCCTCTGGCCATGGGGAGCTGAGGATGGGTTAAAGTTCTTCCAATTTGTTTTGCAGCCCTCTCCGGGGTTCACGTGCTTGTTTTCTGCTCACTGTTTCTGGGCTGTCTTTTGTAAGCTGGAACTTTTAGTTCTCTGGTCAGAGAAACCTTGGACCAGGACGTAGTGGTGTGCTTTGGTCCCATCTGTGGCTTCAGATGGCAGAAGGTGGTCACTGTCTGTGTGTAACCAGACCCAGGTGTCTGATGGTAACAACAGCACCCTCATATATAGCACAAAATTGTCATCTCTAAGAAGTTTGCAAAGGAAGCTTCAAAACAGACACAGGAAAACAGCCCCTGTGGTACACCTGTCACCGGTCTTTATATTCTGATGCAGTGTTCTCCTTTTGTGTCTAACCAAAATCGGTTCTTCTGTGTTTTGTTTTTCCTTTCTGCTGCTGGCATTTTAGGACAGCTGGAAACTCTAATGTTTGCTCTAGAAATGCTTGTAAAACTTCAATCTTCAACTTTTTTTTATGTCAAACTTCTTTAGCACTTTCATCCCATAACAGTTAAAAGCAACCTTTCTTCAAAGTCAGCTGTATGTCCAGTTGGGCTGCTGGTATAAATTACAGTGTCCTATTTGTCCTTGAGCTTATCTGCCTTGGCAAAATCAGTAAGCTTAATGTTGGCATAAGAATACTCTCCTGTCAAAATGCTGCAGGAATAGGATGGGAAGAATGGCTGTGTTTACTCATCCTAATATATCATATGTCGCTTTAGATATTTAATGTGCTGGATGCATCCTGTGGAATTTGCTTAACTTAGATAAGAGGCTTCAGGGTCAAAATGTGTTTTCATTAAATTATCTTTATTGTGACAAATATGTATGGCTTTTGTTTGCATTCACAAAATTGCTTCATCTCTCTTCCTAGGTGAAAATATTTGCCCCCAATATTGAGCAAAGGGATGTAGTCAATCACCTAAAAGGAAGTCCAGCCGAAGAGAAGAGAAATGTGTTAGTTGAAAGTGCCAGGTTGGCAAGGGGAAACATTCAGGATTTGGCTGAACTGAAAGCTAGTGAATTTGATGCTGTCATTTTCCCTGGTAGGTATCACAAAATCATAGAATATTCTGTTTTGGAAAGCCCCCAAGGATCATCAAGTCCACCTCTTAAGTGAATGGCCCACAGAGGGGTTGAGCCCACAACCTTGGTGTGTTATTAGCACCATGCTCTGACCAGCTGAGCTCATCTTTAAAAAAAAATTGTGATTTTTTTAACTCAATGTATTATTGATTCATAGTTCACTTTGTTAAAATGCCAGAGTGGTCTTTTGGTATTAAGTTATGCATCCCACCATTCCTTCTTACTAAAGTTTGTGAAAACTTCACTACTTACATGTGGAGAAGAACCATGACTAGAGTACAGAAATTAGGTCAGAACTCAGTTACAGTGTTTATGGATAATTTTTATTTAGAGACCACAGATTTGCATTCCAGATGGAGGTAATTGTAACCACTTCCAGAAATGAAGAAGCTGGAGCATCATGAGGAAATCATGACTTGCTGAAGATCTCTTTCCAAAATATTCATTGTACTCTTAAAAACTGCCTTCATGATTGGGCTTAAGTGTTAATTTTGAAGTTTTCACACTGTTGTAAGGCCAGCAGAGGGAGTGTGTGTATAACACAGAGAAACAAATCTGCCTGCACTGTAAGTGCGTGGTTGATGTCAGGGCTGATCAGGAGGGAGTACAGGCTCACAGATGTTTTCCACGTTAATTTCATGCTGTTATAACCCAGGCTCAGGGGGGTTGCTGTAATAACTCTTAGAGGGAAATAAACCCTATTAAGTCTGAAAATTAAAATCTTGCCTCAGAGATTTCAGATAACACTTGAAAGTCAGCAAACCAGGAAAGGAAAAAATATTAAAAATGCAAAGCTTCTTGATATTGTCTGTTGAAGTACTTGTGGAAATTTTCTTATGCTTATTGGAGGAAAGTTGATGCCGTGCACATTCCATATGGAATAACCTTACTTTGATTATTCTGATGGTTATAAAACCAGCAGACAAAGGAGCTGTAAAATACAATTACTTATACAATTAAATGAAGATTAAATGCACCTAAAGGATTGTTAAAACTAATTTATAGAAAGACAAATCAGCACTATTTTTAATATGAGATTACTTTACCATTTACAATTTTTTTTGGTCTCCGAATACCATGTTATAATGTCTATTTTATGTAAAATCCCCTGTGTTTTTTATTCTGTTAATCTCTTTTTTTTAAAAAAAAGTTGAAAAGTAGTTCTAGGAAAGAAGAAAAGCTCTTCTATAATTGCTTAAGCATCAAAGTAAAACTCAAGAGTTCATTACTCTCATACACGGAGGGACAAATCACTGTTTGCATTACTCTCATGAATTCCATACTTCTGCTTTTGACTAGTATTGGCCTTCTGATCCCTCTTCCTTACTGAGGAGTGCACAACAGATGGTGCAGCTGTTCTAGTGACTAGCAAAAGAATGTGAGGCTTCCTGTTCATCTATTCCTTGCTTTTTCAAACAAGGTTAAGCTTTCTGGCCTGTATATAACCTACATGGTATAAAAAAGTGAGCAGTTAAACTTTTAACATTGTATACCCATCATTTACAGGTTACAGTGACATTGCAAGGCTTTCAATACAGTTACTCAATGGTCCCATGAATACCAAGATTAGGTGGTAAAAAAGAGCTTCTGTTTGGTATCATATTTAGTAGCTTTTAGCAGTGCCTTGTATTTGAAGTTTTATATTTTTGTGGTTTTTCTTTTTTTTTTTTTTTAGGTGGTTTTGGTGTAGCAAAGAATCTGTGCTCCTGGGCTGTAGATGGCAAGAACTGTACTGTCAATGAGCATGTGAACTCCACACTCCAAGCCTTCCACAGTGCTAAAAAGCCCATTGGTTTGTGCTGTATATCACCAGTTCTGGCAGCCAAAGTCTTTCCTGGTTGTGAGGTTACAGTCGGTCAAGATAAAAATATAGATGGAAGGTAAGAAGGAAATGGATGGAGATGATTTACATGGGAATTAAGATTAGGAAATGGACAGGCTGCTGTGCAAAAGTCTCTTTGTTACCAGTAAACCTGGGGGAACTTAGTTACTTTTAAGGAAGATTAGCTACAGTTTTCACTAGAATAATAGTAGTAGGCACAGAGCTCTCAGGGCAGACAGAGTGAATCCATGAAGTCAGGTGACTTGTGGTGCTACAACCAGGTGTACACTGACCTGATATCATAGAATTGTTTAGTTCGGAAAAGTCCTCTAGGATGGTCGAGTCCAATGGTTAACTCAGGAATTTTTATTAAAGTTTTTCTGGTGGTAGTGGTTTGGGGCCACTTTAGAGGAGGGACATGAGAACAGGGCCTGGCAAAAACTGCTTCAAGAACTGTCAACTCCCAATAAAATGTCTGAATTAAATTTTGCAGCAGCTGTAGTGAGGGATTCTGATTGCATCTGTTCCTTATCAGAAGGGGAAAAAACCCAAAATCTCTGCAGATCCCAGAGGAACACCTTACATGGAGGTGTTGGAAAAGGTTGCAAGTTCAGTTGGCTTCTCAAGCTTTTAAGGATCAGTTTTGGCTGTACTTGGTATCATCTTCCAAACTTATGGAAAGATGGTTAAAAACTATTGTACCTTCTGACATACTGTGGCTTCACATTTCAGACTGTGTTTTCAAAAATATTAGATCACTTGATGTGTCCATAGGGGATAGGGAAATCTGATAGTAACAGCCCCTTTAGCTCCCATGTCATCATCAGCTAAAGAGTCACGTAGATATTACTGTAGTTCTCTCAGTCAAGTTATGGTGTGCAGAGTTTTATGGCTGTGTCATTGCTTTATGTTAATTAAAATCTTTTTATTTACAGATTTCCTGATGCTGAAACGGCATCTGCTATAGCAGAGCTTGGATGTAAGCACATTTGCAAAAATGTAAATGAATCCCATGTGGATAAAGCCAATAAAATAGTTACTACCTGTGCTTTCATGTGCAAGGCTCCTCTGCATGAAATCTTTGATGGAATTGGAACAATGGTGCAAGAAGTCCTGAAGCTTGCCTGACTAGAAGTGTACAGACTTCTCCAAGGAAATCAGTGTAGTGAAGCATAAACATGTAGCTTCCTTTGATTGAATTAATAAAATAATGCAACTGCTAAACTTCACAGTTCCTGGTTTGTTTGGTGTGGTGGGGTGTTTTTTAATGTTTAATACATCAGATGGTTACTCCTGAATTTAACCTATTTATTCCTCTTTTAAAATAGAAACCATAGGTTGAAAGTGATGGGAGAGTCCTTTTTTATTTTATTTTTTTTAAATGACTCCAAATGTATTCAGTCTTAAAGAGACCGAATGGATAGTGGGGTTTTATCACATCATTAATGTTTATCAGTAATTCACTTCCAGCTGCAATTACAGGTGAAGTAGCTGTAAATGAGTCTGTTTACCTTCAGTATAGGTGAGTAATTCAATTCTGATTTCTAATCAGAAGGGAAAAACAAAATAATGTGTTTATTTGGATTCTTTTTTCCCTTTGCAAGTCTTTAAGCAAGTATTACTAACTGGACTCCCAAAATTTTTGCAGAGCCCCTAGGTAAACCAACTTTATAAACCAAGATCTGGCACAAATGAATGCATTGCATGTGGAAAATACACAAATTTTCTGGTAATAAATGAAGTCATTTCAGATTTATTTAGCAAAATGAATTAGATTTATTTTGTGACTTTTTTTTTTTGCATACATTGTTTAGAGCCCTGAGGAAGACAATTTTATATGTTTGCTTTGATCTTATAAATGTGAGCAAAAGGTTGGCAGCTTCTCTTAGAAGCACAATCTGGCAAGGCTTTGTACTCCTGGAGGAACAAAAAATACCCAGAATTCATTACCAAGGTTCATTGTGGACACTGAGTTGTCTCACATAAGAAGTGCTCTGCAACTCCTGCCCAGGGTGGTGTAGCCCACACTGTGCTGGGCCTGAAGTAACCCAAAGTGACATCACCTGCTCAGTGTCTCATGTGACTGGGGCAGGAGTGAAACAGGAACAGACCTGTACCACAGAGGAGCCAACAGGTGGAACTGGGAAATAATGCCTTTATGATGAGGAGTGTGGACTGTCCCTCATGCTGCCTCAGTGCAAGAGCAATGGCTACAGTGACACCTGACACCCTGCAAATTATCCAGTGCTACCCCTCCCTACATGTCCTGCGTTTATTTTAGCACAAATGTCAGTGCTCAGACCTAACAGGTGCCCTCTTCAAGGAGGTTGTAGGGATAAATCACCATAAACAAATATATAAAGGCTTATGTTCTCTGTATTCTAACTGTGATGCTTTTCATGGATACAGCACTTCCATACTCTTCCAGAATTTGGGTTTCCTGTATGGAGTTATTTAGGAGAAGCAGAGCACAGATTTTTGGCAGATGAGCAGGGAGATTTTTGTGCTGTGCACAAGCAGTGAGTGCTCAGCCTCCAGAGGTATAAAGAGCTGGAGTCGGCTGTGCCAGCAGAGGATCTGTTCAGCCTGGCTAAGCTGGGCACATAATCACCAAATTACTTACTTAGTCAAAACCCACAATATTTGACTCGTGTTACAAGAGTCTTATTTAAAAGTGCTTGAGTCAGTAAATAAGAGTTTGTCCCGAATTTTGCATTGGCTTTGTGAAGAGTATGTAGCTGTTGGCTGGAACATTCAAAGGAAGTGCAGCTTCTCTGGAAGTGCTCTAGGTGACTGCCCTGATAGGAATGTACTTAACACAGAACAGTCCTCTACTTTTTCCAGGTTGTACACCGTCTCTATGATGCCTTCAATGGCTTCTGTGGGCAGGATGCCGAGTGCATTGGATTGAAACTTTTTCTCCAAGTCTTCCTTGCTCAGAGGTTTTCTCCAGTGCCCGTAGAAGGTGGTGCAGCAGTCGCTGATAGCGTTGCCATCCCGAAGCATGACACTCACTTGGCAGTAAAGGCTGTCAAAGCTGGGGGTGTTGTCAGGAGGGTGCTCCAGCTGTGTTTTGCAGAGGAGCTCCCGCAAGGCTGGCCGGTGAACATTCTCACTGGTGAAGGACTGGACTGACATGCTGCCGTCCAGCAAAGCAGAGCATGCAACAAACTGGAAGGAGTGCCGTGCTTCATGCTCTGAGGCTGGGCTGGGTCTGTTCACGTATTTGACTTCAGGGACTTTGAGAATGACTTTCTCAATTTTATCAAGGGGGAGCAAGTTCTCACTGCTCTCCACAAGCTTCCTCCTAACAGAAGATGCTGCATCAGCCACCCAGTGTGTTGCAAGATGAGCAGGAAAGCGTTTGATGGCCACATCTTGCTGTTCCAAGAGCCAGGGGTAGGACTGCAAGGTTGGCAGAGTCTGTGGGTTGTAATCTGTATAAAAGGCACCCATCCCTGACTCCATGTCCAAGATCTGTTTGTTTCCTTGAAGGCCCTGTAAAGCTAAGCAAGCTGCTTCCAGTCCATGCTTGGCAGCATTCCCAATATGAAGGGGCTTTATTTGCGTTGCTGCATTAGCCAATGGGGCACCTGCATAGGAGGCAGCAATAGCCAAAGCATTTTGACATTCCAGCTGGTCAAGAGCTAACAGTTTAGCACAAGCTACTGCACTCCCCATTATACCAACCACGGCTGGTGGGTGAAACCTGAGAAAACAAAAGTATCTTCGTTACCAAATTTCAAAAATTCACCCAGATTTCACTGTCTGCAAAAGCTTTTCATTCATTGCCATGGAAAATGGATTGGATCACAAAGAAACATACACTCAGCATTCACATGTGGGCCTAACTGACAGCTGTCACTTTTCCCCAGGAAAAAGTAAAACTGGAATTCTACGGCTCGCAGTAGGCCCTTCCCAGAAAGCAACTGGCACATTAGTGCAGCTCATAGTTCAAAGCAAAGTTAGTCAAATATAAAGTTATATTTATTATTATTTAAATTTATATATTATTATAAATCTATAAAAATTCAAAATAGATTATTGCCTCATTGTGAATTGGTCATTGCTTTCAAAAAGAAATCTATTTGCTAAAGACTTACGAGTCAAGTGTATTTATGTGTAAGATGAGCCTTCCCCAAATTTTCAAACAGCTTAGGAAATATGAATAACTGTGCCACCTGTATTTTAACTGACATTTAAATATATATATTAACAGTAATTACAGAACACCTCTACTCCACTCCACTTTCTACTTTAAACATTTCTATGTACCTTTTTGGAATATTCCTGGCTTCTCTGGAGAAGTGCAGCAACCTGCCTTGCACTTCGATGCCCACATTGAAAGCTAAGAGCAGATCAAGACCTGAGATTTTTTTCTTCTGAGGAAGGGCCTCTGAGAGTGAAATCAGTGCGGGGAGCACAGCCCCGGATGGGTGTGTGGCTGGGTGCCAGGTGTCATCAAAGTCCATTGAGTGCACCTAATAGAAGGAGAAACATTGATATGTTAGAAATAAACTCTGACTTGCCAGGTTGCCTCAGTCAAATGAAAATACCATAACTGGTATAAAAAAGCACTGAAGAACCAGATCTTCCTTAGAAAGCAAAGATTTTGAAAGTCTTCTACTCCCAACATGGCAATCTGAGAAGTGGCAATGCAGCCTCAAAGGAGAATAATTCTAATTCAGCTTGTACCAGCCTGAAACCAGTCTGACAGTGATTCCTTTTTTTTTTTTCAGTTGGCTTTTGCTGCTTTAATTAGACGGGTATAATTAAAGCAGCTGTTCTAGGTCCACCATGTGAACAGTGAATTTTCACTTTCCCCAAAACATAATGGAATATAAACACAATGAAATTACTTCCCCGGTGCCTCAACTGATGCTGCCATTAGGACTCGCACCATAAAACTGTAGCAGTTAAATACTGCTAAATGGAATTTTTATCATCAGAGCTACTTCTCTGGTGCAACCATCCACAGGAAGCAGCCACAAGCCTGCAAATGTATAGGAGGCTTTAGCCTGAATTTTCAGCACACCAAAACAGGACCTGTCACACAAGGAACCAGACTCCCAGAGTTGCTGGGAGTAGGAGAAAGCTACAATCTTAATGTGGAACAAACTGCTTGGCTTAAGAGGGTATCCCAAATTATGCCTTCTCTTTCCCATGCCCAAAGCCCAGCTGCTCAGGAAGATTTTAGGTGTTCCCAGCATGGCATATGGCTGCTGATCTGGCAGCAGGTGGTCCCCAACAATGCAGTCAGTGTCTACAATATACTGCTTATCAGACACATTCCTTCTCACGAAGTTTTGAGAACCCCCAATGACCTGAGAGCTTCAGAGACAGCATTTTTTTATTATAGCATAGTAACCCCTCAAAACCTGAACTTTCACATCTGTTCACCCATGTCTTAATTTCAGAGCGAACTGGGAAGGTGGTCAGGCTCCCCAGCAGACAGGTTTTGCCCTGTAATACTGTGATTATGCATTTTTGAGGACTGTTTCTAAACAGATAGAAGAAAACAGTGTCTGCCTTGAAAAACTTTGATGCCATCTGGGAAGATGCCCTGCAGTGCAGGGTAAGGAAAGTTGTGGTTAATACCTTGTAAGCTGGGTTTCTGGTGTCTTCATTAAGTGCATAAGTTGACCTGTGACCAAGATGTAAACTGAAGTGCTCATATATATGCTAAGAGACAGATCTGAATATCATAAGGGCTGCTAGGAGCTGAGCAGTACTAGATCTCATTTCCAAGGTAATTTTCTCTACATTGGAAATGAGCTGTTAAATTGGACCTCTGATATTGTTGTCACACTAATTTAAATAGGCTAGGTATTACTATTTCCTTGGTTGGTCACCTTTCCTAGTTTTGCATAATTGCCAAATTTGTCTACCATACCTCTTCTGCATCTTTCAATTTCTAATGATTTCAGCCTCAATCTGAGTTTAGACAGATGTCTGGAGAGTCAGTTATTGCTTTAATGACAAAGTGTGTGTCCAAAATATATCACTGGCTTTTGGAAACTGTGTAACTGAAGATTAAATTGCCTTGAGATATTATATGTATCTGTGTGTGCATCTGTGTTTTTCTGTAACTGTACTTTGACAGTTGGCATGAAATTCAGATCCCAGTGAAACGAGCTAGAGCTCGAGCAGTTTTTAAGCAGCTACAGCAAGGTTGTAGCCTTGCTACAAGGTTACCAGATCGTAAGCTGTAGAGTTTTGACATTTGACA